CCTTCAGAATGGGAAATGATATTTCCATTTTAGGTATCTGACTAAGGGTTGATAAACTAGAATCTATAAAATAAGGGCAAATGATCCCATATATCACAGGGCAAGTGAGATGAACAGAAATTTCTCTGATAAAGACAAAACAAATGGAAAAATGCTTGTTGTCCCAATCATCAGAGAAATGCTAATCAAAACCACCCTGAGATATCATCTAAATGCAGTAATATTAGCCCACATAACAAATTCCCAAAGTTGCAGATGCTGGCATGGATGTGAAGAGAGGGGAACACTTTAATACTGCAAATGCATACAGCTTCTTTGGAAAGAAGTATGGCAAATCCTCAAAAGAACTCATATTAGACCTCCCTTTTGATCCTTCAATCCCATTACTTGGCACCTACTTAGAAGAAAAAAAGTCATTCTGTCCAAAAGACATTTGCACTAAATAGTTTATCGCAGCTCAATTTACAATTGCCAAGATGTGAAACAACATAAATGCCCGTCAACTCAGGAACAGATTAACAAAGTGTATAATAAAATGTATACCATGGAATACTATTCAGACATAAAAAAGATGGAGGTGTGGGTGAGATGGAGGTGTGGGTGGCGCCTGTGGCTCAAGGAGTAGGGCGCCGGCCCCATATACCAGAAGTGGCGGGTTCAAACCTGGCTCCAGCCAAAAACGGCAAATAAATAAATAAATAAATAAATAAATGATGGAGGTTTTATGTCTTTTCTATTAATCTGGATTGAGCTGAAACGCATTTTCCTTAGTAAAGTATCATAAGAATGGGAAACAGAATGTTCAATTTACTCAACACTAATATGAAGCTAGCAGATAATCTAATACATGCCCACATAAGAGAAAAACTCAATTCAATTCAAGTTGGGAGGAGGGGGAATGAGGAAGGGGGATTAGTTCTCCTGTTTTTAAGGGTACAATATAAGGGTTTATGGCATACCTCTTGGGTATGGGACACATCTACAAGAGGGACTCAACCTAACAAATGCAAACATTGTAACAATTTTTATGCCCTCACATTACCTGAAATTTAAAAAAAAGAGAAAATCAGAAACTTAAAAAAAATAAGTTTATCATTTCATTTATTTAGATGTTATAGACAATTTCCTTTTACCTAATATATTTCAATAGACTTAAACAAACTGGAACAGATACCCATTGTGACAGTTAATTTTATGTCAATTTACCTGGCCCATGGTGCCCAGATATGTGGTCAAACATTATTCTGAAAGTTTCTGTGAGGGTGTTTTTCAATTAGATTAGCATTTAAATAAGTGCATTTTAAGTAAAGCAGTTTGCCCTCTCCAGCTTAAGGGGAATCACTCAATCACACGCCCCAAGCAAGGGGAAATTCTGCAGTAGATGACTTTTGGACTTGAACTGCAATGTAATACTTCTCTGGGTCTCCAGCTTCATGGCCTTCAGACTTGTACTCAACCTTAGCTCTTCCCTTCCCTGGGTCTTCAGCCTGCTAGTCGATCCTGCAATTTGGGGTTGCCTCCATAATCACTCACGCCAACTCCTGACACTCTACTGGTTCTATTTGTCTAAGAATCCTAATTCACCCATCTATAGAATATATATGAAATTAAATTATAAACTAATCATAAGTAAAAAAAGTCTATATGGAAATTTCAGATATATCTTTTTAATATATACCCCAAACTACTTGACTTATGAAGGGATGAAAGGGTTATGTGCCAATAAAACCATAATAAATAAAAAATACCATAAGTTAAAAATGTATTTAATACACCTAACCTACCAAACATCACAGCTTAGCCAAGCCTACCTTAAATGTGCCTGGAACGTTTACATTAGCCTACATTAGTTGGGCAAAAATCAACTAACACAAAGGCTATTTTATAACAAAGTATTCAATACCTTACGTAATGGATTGAATACATGGTCCTATGGGTACTGAAGCATGGTTTCTAATGATCTATTGCACCACCATAAAGTTGAAAAATCATTAAGTAGAACCATCCTTAAGTCAAGGACCATCTGTATATGTATGTGTACATCTAATAATAAATATATAGATTATATATAAATTACATATAAAATTATATGTAACAGAGAATTAAGAATCCCTAAAGTTTCTTTTTCTTCTTCTTTATTCCTGTTTAATAACATCCTATTATTGATACTGAGTAAGAAAATAGAAAGGGGAAAAATTATTGCAGTTTTATTTTAAATTTCAAAATTAGTTTCCTCATATGCTTGAGACAAAAATTCAAATCAGGTATATAAATACAGAGATAAACATAGGTACCTTGACAAAATCCTGAAACAACACATATATTTAAACCAAGTTTTTTATCTTTACAACATAGTGAAATACTAAGTTCACAAAAACAATGCATAGAAACATATAATAGTTAAGGATTTGAGTATTTTCTTCACAAATATAAGCAATTAACACTTAAGTTACTTAAGTGTTTACATCACTTAAAAGATCCATATACAATGCAGCAAATACTAATTATAACATTCTCTTTCATTCAATAGTTTACTCACTGTCACAGAAGCTCTGTGAAGGGGCATCACTTAAGGAACTGTCCAGGTAAGAATCACAATCGAAGTCTGAACACTTGTGAAAGGCACAGGAAAATGTCAAGTTCTGGCACAATGAACAGATATAACTAACCCCAAAGGTATATGCCACATAATGATGATTTTAACTAAGCTCCACAGTATCCCTCTAGGCAAGTGGGCTCATACTCCCATTACAGAGAAGACTTCACTGTTGAGGGCACTGAGTCTCTGGAGTTGATTTGGAAGAGACGTATAGAATTGCGTGTGATTTCTTACAAGTTTCCTTTTCCAATTTGCTTGCAGTTTCTTTCCCTTCTTTAACTTCTGTTTGAAGCTTTGATTCAGCAGCTAACCTATAGGCATTAAAGTATCCACTCTGAATTCAAATGTGGTTAAGAAAAATTATAGAACAAATAAACCCCTAGTATAAGAGGCCTCCAATAAGGCATGGTGATAAATATTTTTATGCATACAGGGAAAAAAATTATAGTTTACTCTAATACTATTAAACATATTAAGTCACTGACTCTTCAACCTTTTTATATCAATAGGCTCAATATTTCAGAAGTATAAAAAACATCTTTAAGGTTAGTAAAAATTCATGGCAAGGCCTAAATTAAAACAATAAGGCTAAGTACAGGATCACTCCTGTAATTCCAGCACTGTGGGAAACCAGGGAGGGACTGCTTAAGGCCAGGAGTTTGAAACCAGCCTAGTCAACATAGTGAGACCCTGTCTCTACAAAATATTAAAAAATTAGTTGGGTGTGATGGTGCATACCTGTAGTCCTAGCTACTCAGAAGGCCAAGATGGAAGGCCTGCCTGAGCCCAGGAGTTTGAGGCTGCAGTAAGCTATGATCATATTGTTGCGCTCCAGCCTGGGCAACAGAGTAAGACCCTATCTCTAAAACAAGAAAAAATTAAAACACAATAGGGTGCCTATTATGAAAGTATACCTAACACAAAAATTAAAATGCTAGAGCAGTATTTTAATGTTAACATGACATTAAAAAAGGCTAAGTACAAGATAAAAAGAACATGGAATCCTCAGCTACATCAATAGATGCCTTTTGTCTCAAAAATAGAGTTTAAACTAGCAGAATAAAAAAAAAACAGTGGAGAGGTATTTAAAAAGGCTTGTGAAGATTCTTTGTAACAAGTATATCAATTAAATATATAAACCATGCAACAGTAAAGATGCCAATAAACCCATATGTATTATTCCATAATTATCGTAGGACTGGATATCTAAGTTAGGCATGCAGGAAACAAAAGGCTGGAACATTTTAAGTTACCAGATGGACTCACACACACACACAAAAACAAATGTTTTGTGGTATTTTATTTGTTTTTGTTTAACTAGCAAGACAAAAATTTTCCAACTGCTACTTGAGTCAAACAATGGCAACGTACATTACTTAAGTAATTTTTACCAAGCAACAAGAGGCAGAGAAAGAAATGAAAGACAACACAGATAGCAAAGCTGGCTCTTATTTATTCTAGAAATCCACCTGCAGAAATCCACACTGGTCTGCCACACTTACACGATGTGTCACATATAAACAGGCACAACCTGCTTTATTCATTTCAGAACTATTTAGAACCATATGTCTATGGTAGCTATCATTCATTTGAAGTTACTTTTTCCTTATGAATATCAACCTTTAGTTTTATGTGACTTACAGGGTGTAACACGATATAAAAATTCAAAGAAGAGTAATAAATTACATTTCCTTATACTAATAATAGCAGCTAAACATCATTGAAGTGCTTTCTTTGCTGAGTGCCGTATTTAGTAGTACTGAGGACGTGAAGAGAAATCAGGTAAATATACAAAGAAGCCCATTTACATAATGTGAGCTGTGTCACAGTCTTTCTACTCCAATGCACATTAGTATTAATAAAATGTCTTATTCTATACTCCTCTAAGACTAATGTAGCCCCGGTAGCACCTCAGATAGCTCATTTCATAGGAGACAATCCAGGCCAGTTTTGTCACACCAATATGCTTTGAATATTTAAAGATTTATTTCAAATGTATCATTCCATTACATGCAGACATCTCCTCTTTCCTGGACTTTCTCTATTTCCCTCAAACACTCTTTTCCTACCCTCCTCTCGGTCTTGCTGTGCACATCAGAACTCTACCCTCAGCCACTGCTGCCTACCTTCCCCTTCCGCCGACATACTCTTACCTTCTGACCTCCATTTTTTAAATTTTTTTAAAGGACAAGTTCCTTGGAACACTAATCCCTTCAGACACATGTCTGACACTTCTTTTAGTCAAAAACTCAATTATACAGAAATTGGAGGCTTTCAAGATTTGGAAACAATAAAAGTGAATTAGCTTTGATATTTAAAAATGTCAAAATGTCTCAAAGCCTACTCTTGAAGGCTTAGGATAAACAACTTCAAAAGCCATAAAAATTTCAACTACATTTTCTAGAAGGCTGAAATTTCTTAGACTATTATCAAGCCCTTTAAGAAAGTAAGTAAGTTAATTTTTCTTTCATGGCCACTCTTGAACCAGGAGAAAAACAATCCATTATTCAAACTAACAAACATTCAGAGATGTATTAGCCTGATAACTTCTGTTTCGTGAAACACAATGTATAACTTTTTAAATGATCCCCTTATCAGGAGTCCTTTTCCCTTGCAATCATTTTAGTCTTTCTCATAGTTTTGGAAAAGTTGAAGGTGGGTAGATGAAACTGCGGTATTATACTGCACGCAATACTGAGAAAATAGATAAGGAAACAGATAGCACAGTTCATGCAGCGAGAGAGGAGAGATGGAGAAGTCTGCTGGTTGCCTTGAAGAAAAGCAGACACTGACCTGGGAGAGCTGGGGGTGTTTCCACTTCTTTCATTTAAGGCCTCAGAGTCAGATGGAACTCCTATGAGTTTCACATATTTCTTTTCCTTTAGCTGCATATCCATGGGCAAGTTTTTGTGAGGCGAGACACCGACTTGTGGCGGGTCTACAGAAATCGCTTTTTCTAACTGAATGTTGTTATTTTCTAAATCGTTAGAACAGGACTGTGTCTCCTCTTTCTCGAGTGGTGGTCTATAAACTTCTCCGACAGCGCTGTTACTCACACACACATCTTCAGGCGTGGTTATATCCACAGGCAGCACCTCACGCCTCTTCTTGAGTACAGGTACTTCAACTGCCTCTGAGAATCAAAAACCATTACAGAAGATGCAGTCAATGAAAGAAAATAAAGACACAATCAACGTAAGAGAGCAGAACTATTTATACACTTTTTTTATCTTTTTCCACTCTTTTAAAATCCACTCATCTCCTTACTGAATTATTTCTATTTTTTATTCTTTATCAAAAATTCTATAAGCTTTATCTTTTAAAGTTTATTTGGCTACAAATTTTTCCTTAGGTATCCATATATTTGGCTCTAGGAATAAACATGGTATTTTGTTTATTTCCCTCGGGTATTTTGATAAAGAGGTGGGGATGCATCAAGATTTCAGTGTTTAAGAAGAGGGTGCAGAAGCGAAGAATCCAGGGTTAAATCCCAGTACTAGCACTAAGCAGCTGGTTGACTTTGGGGAATTATTTAACCTGACTTTTATTTTCTTTATCTGTAAAATTGGGATTAAAAACACCTACTACCCTGAGTATTGTGTGTTTGTAAAAATTAAAGAACAAGCCAAACTCTCTGAACATTGGTAATTTCTGCCTTTTATTCCCATTTATAAAAATTAGGCAGAGTCTGACTACTCTGATGATGAATACCTCTCTCGTCCAACCACATTACGTCTCATCACAGACTACTGCAATGGCCTTCTACCATTCTGGTCTATTATTCTATCACCTATGCAGATCATACACATACAAGTCACTGAATTGATTGTTCTAGGATCTTCCCCCTACCCCCAGATCAATGTGTGTTTCATTTTCAAAACCAAAATGTGAGTGGAATGTGAGGAACCCTGGTAGGGCTGGTATTCTTGCTGTATACTGATGGTTTTAGATCATTACTTTGCTTTTCTCTTAAATTCACATTATACAGATTTATAATCCCGCTTCCTGTTTCTTTGCTGTATTCATCTGGGGAGGAAATTGTTTTACTGAAATCCTCATTATATTAAGTTTTTGAAACAGTCCTAACTAGTATAGCTCCCAATGTTGGCTTCTTCAACAAAATTACTCTTCAACATAAGATACTACAATCTTACGTGGAAAAGTCTCAAATGTTAAGATTCTACTATATAGTATGATGAGTTTAGACCTCCAGGAAGTATATTATAACCATGTATACCCAGTAACTAGTTCTCTTTGAATTTTCCTACACATTTTACAGTAGTACATTTGCTCTGTTAACTAAAGTTCTGTAACAACAAATGAGTTTGTAACAGGATTTGCATAAAACCATAGTATGAAAATAATGTGATAAAATTTCTCAGAATAACTCATGATTTAAAAGACAAAAATATATGAGAAATACATACCTTCAGGTTCATACTTCAGTTTTAATTCATCTAGTTTAGCTCTCAGTTTCATATTTTCACTTTCTGAAAGCTGAAGGCATCTTTCATTTGCAAAAAGTTTTCGTTCAATATCTAGGGCCCTTTGGCTTTCAAATAATGCTTTCATTCGCTGTATTGACAATTCACCTTTAATGCTTTCATTTTCTTTGCTATAATAACAACAAAAAAAGGAGAACCAAGAAGCATTAAAGTAACATATAAATAACAAAGTGTTATATTTTATTGCATATTTGAACTCATAGTTAAACTCTGGGGTTTTTAGTAATAAACAATAGGGCAGCACCTGTGGCTCAAAAGGGTAGGGCGACGGCCCCATATGCCAGAGGTGTCAGGTTCAATGGTATCCTCCTACTTCTGCAAAAAACTTCATGCATTCTTTAAAGAAAAAGGACAAATATTCTTTTTCAAATTCATTCATGCATAAATTTCTATAAGTCATAATAGATATTGTTGAAAAATTTCTATTACAAGAACACTTTCTATGTTAAAGTTCTTTTCACCTACCAATATAAAAAGCTAAAAACAAAAACATTTATTCATTCAAAGTATTTTTTCTTCAATAATCAGTAATTACAAAGCAACAATGTCATACTTTGAAGAACCTGAAATAAAATACTGTGTTTCATATGGAACCAGAAAAAAACCCAAATAGCCAATTCTAAGAAATAAAAACAAATCTGATGGCACATTACCAGACTTTAGGTTATCCTATAAGTCAACAGTGATCGAAACAGCCTGGTACTGGCACAATAATACATATAGACCTATAGAATAGAATAGAGAACCCAGAGATGAAACAAGCCACATGACACCATCTGATCTTCAATAAAACCAGCACATACCGGGAAAAAGAACCCTATTTTTAAAAATGGTGCTAAGAGAACCGCTTAGCCACACACAGAAGACTGAAACTGGACCTGCACCTCTCGCCAATTACAAAAATTGACTCTCGATGGATAAAAGATTTAAATTTAAAACATGAATAAAAATTCTAGAAGAAAGTGTGGGAAAAACTCTTGACAACATCAGCCTGGGAAGAAATTTTATGAAGACTCTTTTGGCAACTGCAGCAACACCAAAAATAAATAAATGGGACACGATCAAGTTAAAAAGCTTCTGCACAGCTGAGGGTACAACTAAACAGAGAGCCTTCAGAATGGGAAAAGATATTTGTATGCTATGAATCTGAAAAAGGGCTAATAACCAGAATATACAAAGAACTCTAATCAATAAGACAAGAGCAAAGAACCCCATTTATAGGTGGGCAAGAGATTTGAACAGAAACTTCTCTGAAAATGACAGACAACTGATCAAGAAACACATGAAAAAAGGCTCATCATCCCTAATCATCAGAGAAATGCAAATCAAAAGCACTCTCAGATATCACTTGACCCCAGTGAGAATAATCCACATAACAAAATCCTGAAACTGCAGATGGGGGCATGGATGTGGAGAGGAAGGAAGACTTTTGCACCGCTGATGGGATTGTAAATTAATACAACTTCCATGCATAGAAGTATGGAGAATCCTCTAAGAGCTAAACTAAAAGTAGACCTTCCATTTGATCCTACGATCCCACTACTAGGTATCTACCCAGAAGAAAAAAGATCATCTTACCATAAGGACATTTGTGTTAAGTTGTTTATTACAGTTCAATTCACAATTGCCAACACATGGAATCAACCCAAGTGCTCATCAGCACATGAACAGATTAATAAACTGTGGTGTACGTATCCCATGGAGGACTATTCAACCGTAAGAAAAGATGGAGACTTTCATCTTTTGTACTAACCTGGATGTAGTTGAAGCACATTCTTAGTAAAATATCACAAGAATGGAAAATCAAGTATCCAAAGTACTCAATACTAACATGAAACCAATAGATAAACAATTACATGCCCACATGTGAGAAAAAAAAACACAATTAAATTTCAAATGGGGGGATGGAGGGGAATTGGTAAGCTCTCACCTAATGGGCACAATGTAAGGGTATATAGGACATCCCTTGGGGGAAGGCTCAACAACACTTTGGATTTTACTTAAGAAACACAAACAGCATAGCCTAATCATTTGTACCCTCATCTTTTCTGATTTGAAATTAGAAAAAAAATATCAGTAATTATTATCTCTTGAATAAAATACTTTTGTTGACTTTCTTTTCTGGAATTTTCTTTCGGCAATTTTCAAACAAATATTTGTAATCACTAATATTACTATTATAAGCAAGTGCAGTCTCCATCTTTCCCTCCACCAACCCAGACACTCACTTTAAGTTATCAAGTTTTATCTGAAGTAAATCTGTATAATAGGTGTTATCTTGCAGAGCACCAGAGGTGGCTGAAGGCTTAGATTCCATATTTTCATATAAATTCTAAAAAAAAGCAAAAATTCTTCTTTAAATAAATTAGGTTAACATGTATTTGTTTATTAATAATAGCACCACCACTTACTGAATACTTACCATTTGGCAGGCACTATGCTAAGAACTATCTGTTTAACTCATCTGGCTTCTGAAATAGGTAAAAGAGTTACAGGCAGTCCCCAAGTTACAAACATTCAACTGACATACTACTTCACCCTTAAACAGAAGCTATTACAGGTAATAGGTAAATGTACCTGTTCCAACTTACAAACTCAACTTAAGAAGAAAACTACGGAACCTATCTCGCTCATAACTCAGGGACTGCTTATAGCATTCCTCTCAGATAAGGAGACTCGCTCAAGACACCACAAGGGAAATAAACCAAGAAGAGAGAATCTGAACCCACATCTGACTCCTATAGCTATATCCTATAGTTTCCCTCTCTCTTGGCTTTTAAAACAGAATAAATAAATGCTTACTGGGTTGAATTCTGGTTTTATATCAAATTTATACATTTTAAAAGTATAAAAATATCTTTAAAGTCATTGCTGGGCCCCTCTTCTGAGATTCTAGTGGAAATTCTATATATTTCTTTAGGGGGAAAAAGGTAAATCTGGTAAAAACTTGCAAAAAAATTTCAGAAATTACAAAGAAAGTCCTCCAATTTAAGGCCATAATTTTCAAAATACAGCACGAAGCCCACAGATGGACTACATACACCTGCCAATTGATGTACTGTCAATTTATCCAAAATTGTAGTCCTTTAAAAGTTTTCATAAGAGGCAGAAATAAAGTTATATAGACTTAAAATTTAAGAGATACACTAAAGGGTACAGTTTAGATGCTTAAATGGTTATAAACATTTACAAAAATTTATCATTTATAAACTTTATAAACACTTTATGTTTATAAATGACAGGATGATAGTGAGAAGATATCAATGCTTCTAAGTTAATTTATTAAATTTTAAATTTAATGTGATTCTAATTAAAATATCAACAAGGTTTTTTCAGTGCTAGACAAGATGTTTGTAGAGAAAAACAAATATGTAAGAATGGCCAGGAAAACAGTGACAAAAGAAAACTTCTGGTGGGGAAACACCCCTAACAGACCAAACATTCTACAAACCTCTATCATTAGAATGGTATGGTACTGACACAAAGATAAGTAGACCAGCGGGACAGAATAGCAAATCGAGAAAGAGACTTAATATACATGGAAATCTGATATATACTAAAGGTGACAGCTGATCACTGAGGCCAAGACTGACTTTATCAGATGATGCTGGGATAATGCCTAGTTATTTAGAAGAAGATAAAATTAGATTTATACCTCAGATCATACATAAAAATAAACTTCAATAGGGATCAGATCTCTAAATATAAAACATGAAAATTCTTCATAGTCACGCATACACACATGTGCAGACACACAAAATAATGTGCTTCCATGTATAGAACCCAGTGCCTTTTCTTTCAGGAAAAAATTTTTCATTTTACTTTTTTAATTCAAATTTGCATTTGCTTATATTTAGGTTCTAGTTTTTTGTAATATAAAGGAATGTTAGTACTTATTTTTCAACATATTATGGTATAAGAAATTTTATGTAACAAATAATTATAAAACACAAGAACAGATACGAGGTACAAGACATTTTATATATCAGTAACATATAGTATTACCCATGTGTAATGCATATCCTAATTGTCCCTCAAAAATTTGGGCAAAAAGTACATATTATCCATGGCAAAATATGATATGGTACTTACACATTATGAAAACATATCCAATCTCACTTATAATTAGAGGAATATATGTATAAGCACACACACACACATATATACATATATACACATAAATACACACACGTACTCTTGGCTCTGTCTCCCGAGAGGGTCTAGAAGTGACGACAGTGTAGTAGCCAGTATACCCAGAGCCTAGATTTTGGTTTCTAAACACCAGTCTCCACTAAAAGAAACCAGTGCTCCTTGAAGAAATGGTGATTTCAGGGCTGGGGCAGTGAACTAGGAATACTTTGTCATGCCACAGAGTAAGGACATACTCAAAGAATTAAGTACCAGAGGATAAAGAAGTTCCCCCTCTGGCCAGATTTGGGACATTGTGTGAGTATCACAGTAAATAAAGTAACCCATAGTATAAAATAAGAACCCATGAGGCTATAGTGATTATAAATAAGTGAATGGATAGTGAAGAACAGTAATTTTCTTTTCCATCCCTTTATTAGAATTCCAACTAATAAATACAGAAGAAATGATGGAATTACCATTTGGCAATCATCTCGGTATTATCTGTTTTGGGCAAGAAACATGAATGTGTGTCCAAGTAAAAGGATAAACAGGCATTTACTTAGTCTCATCAGTTAAGGTACTCATTAATTACAAAGGGAACAATTATACCTTCACAGGGAAGAAATCTGGCAGACAAAACCTTATCCAAAGGACAACAGTTAATGTTACCAATACTGGAACAAATAGATAGCATGTGTTTCTGAATGGGAGGTCCTGAGAGGATGTCATTCCTGTAGTATTCCTGTTTCAGAGACATAGCTTAAATCCAATCATATCAGAAAAACCCAAAATAAAAGACAAAGTAACTGCCTATTTCAAAAATGTCAAAGTTATACAAGATAAAGACTAAGGAACTGTTCCAGATTAAGGGAGACTGAAGAGAATTAACAAATACAATCTGTGATCTTGGACTGGACCCTAAAACTGAAAGCATTTGTTTTTGGTATTTTTGTTTTACTACATAGGGCAAGAGGGGTAACTTGTAAAATGTGAAAAGTAGCTTAGCTAAGAGTATGGTTCAATTTGTATCAGTGTTAATTTCCTAATTTTAAACATGAGGTACTTAAGGGTAAAAGGACAGATGGTTTGCAAATGATCCTCAAAAGTTTAAAAATCTATGTACATACAGAGCGAGAAAGAGAAAGCAATAAAGCAAATGTGTAAAAATTGACAATTGGGGAATCTGGGCGAAGTGTATAAGAATACCTTTCTAGAAGTCTGAATTTATTTCAAAATAAAAAAACTTAGGACTTCTACTGTGAATTCCAGTTGCCATACAATGTTGGACAATGTGACAAAATGACATTAAAAAATGGAGGTGGACAGCGTTGAAAAATAATTACTGATAACATGTATCAAGAAGAAGAAATATCATTGCCACAACGTTGAGTAGAAGATAGAAATAGGAGTACATACTAAATGATTCCACTATATGAAGTTCAAGTGTATCTGTACATGTTGCAAATACAAAGTTAGGAGGTGGAGATACTCAAAAAGGACGTGACAGAGCCTTTCCATACTGCTAAAAATGTTCTTATCGTGATCTGGACAGTAATTATAAGGGTACATATGTATGTTAAAACTCACTGAGCTGTATAATGAAGATATGGGTGCTTACACATAATAGACACAAAATAACAACAAAAATAGTGTAGGTTAGTTTCACTCCACTAAAAGAAGCAAAAGGCCAGGCGTAGTGGCTCCTGCCTGTCATCCTAGCACTCTGGGAGGCCCAGGAAGGTGGATTGCTTGAGCTTACAAGTTTGACATCAGTCTAAGCAAGAGTGAGATCGCGTCTTTAAAAAAACACTAGCTAGGCATTGTGGCAGTTTGCCGTTGAGGTTGCTATGAGCTATGATGCCACAGCACTTTATTGACAGTGACAAAGTGAGAGTTTGTCTTGAAAAAAAAGAAATAAAATAAAAGAAGCAAAAGTAGAAAATACAGAAAAGCAAGCGACCAGAAGCAAAAAATAATTTAAATATTAGGTCAATGTACCAAAAGTAAATGTTAATTATGTAATAAAGAAAACTTATTGAAGTTAAAAAAAATCAAGATTTAAAAAATCTATTTATGTATAAAAATCTTAATTTTTTAACATAAAATACAGACCAAATTTTAAGATACTCAAAATGTAATTTGGCTGCGTTTTTTAAAAAAAAATGTTATACATACCTTAAATTTCTCCAGATTTCTAATTTCACCTAAAAGATGTTTTATTTCACCATTCTTCTGCTCCAACATGGCAAGTAACCGTTCTTGTTGCTCAAATTCGGTTTGAGACCCTTTCATTTGTAGCAATGTAGCGATTTGTAACTAGAAAAATAAAATTACCCCCTCTAATCAAATTGAGAGGAAGATTCTGATAACTACATTTTTGATTTAATGCATATTTTGTACTGTATTAATTTGAAATCATTTTGGAACCCAAACTAATTAGCTATTTCTAGTCTAACAGCTTAAAAACATGTATCAATAAGTTTTGTTGAAGACATAACATTTACATAGTTATTGTGACTGCTTATGAATAACTGATGCCTATAACATAATTATTTATACGTTTGTGAAACATAAAATTGAACTGCATAGCTGTGGTATGAAAACGTACTGCCTTAACTGGTAAGTAAGCCTGGCCAAATGTTGCAAACTACTCATCGGGGTCTGATGGGATTTCTCAAAAATTATAATTCACTTTAAATAAACAGGGGGAGGGATTATTTCGCTATTCACAGTCACAAATGTGAGATTCACAAATGCCAAGGATGGAAAATAAAGGTAAAAGGCAATCTAAGAACATCGAAATACTGTTTTTATTTTTTTAGAGTGGCACTCAACTTATCTAATTATGATTCCACTTAAATCTGGAGTTGCATAGACATCAGAAGGAAATTAACTAGACTCTAAACCTTGAATTTCTTTCTCCCACCAAAGATTTCTGGAGTTGTAAAAAGCATCAGCTAGTTTAAATATACGCTAGAACCTCTGTAAGTTGACCACCCTAGGGTAACAAACTGGTCAACATATGAAGGTGGTCAACATAAGGAACTAGGCCTGCTGCACTGATAACATACATCTACTGCGTGTCCAGTCTATGAAAATTAGGTTGAGTGTAAAGTGGTCAACGTAGGGAGGTGGCAACTATAGAGTACTGAGTAAAGCAAGCAGTGATAGGAGGTTACAGGAATGTTTACAAGGAAGAGAGAATTCCTGATTACTTTTAACATTTTTAAGGTTATCCTTTTTGTTCTGATTTCAGATGGGAGGTTAGGCACAGTTAGCCTAAGATTCAGAATGTGTCTAGTCTCTAAATATAGTTTGGGACATAACTTGGGAGATTAAAAGTGGTAGCGCAACAAATACTGTAAGAAAACAAAGAGTAAATGTGAAACAATTTACAAAGAAACCATTCCTAGATGGTGGGAGAGTCTCAGTAAACCTAGCAGCATAGTCTGGAAATCCTTAGACATAAAATTCACAGCTATTGGCTCGGTGCCTGTAGCTCAGTGAGTAGGGCCCAGGCCTAATAAACTATGACAACTGCAACCAAAAAATAGCCAGGCATTGTCACAGGCATCTGTAGTCGCAGCTACTTGGGAGGCTGAGGCAAAAGAACTGCGTAAGCCCAAGAGTTTGAGGTTGCTGAGACCTGTGACGCCACTGCACTCTACCAAGGGCAAAACAAAGAGACTGTCTCAAAAAAAAAAAAAAAAAATCACAGCTATTGTTTATTAAAACAATTACTCAATTGCCAAGTACCATGTAAGTATTTTACTACACTTTCATTTAACTCTAGGATAATTCTAAAAGGCAAGTTCTATCATCTCTACTTTATAGATGAGGTTAAGTGAAAACTTGTCCAAAGTTATGGAGCTAGCAAGTGACAGAATTATATATAATTCAATCCCAAACTCATGTAACTCCCAAGTGTAATCACTGACCTGTCACATTTTTTAAGTTAAAACTCACTATTCTGAACAAAATGAGGGAAGCCTCTCCAGATTCCAATTACTACTATAGGAGAGTTAGGCATAACAGACGAGGGAACAGGATCCTAAGATGGGTAGAACATTAGAATCTTTGCATCTTCCATAGGCTTTTCTATTACCTCTTATTTGAGTAGAATAATGACCAACAAAACCCTGGAAATTAAAAGGGCTTCTATCTTTGACCTAAGGAGTAACAAAGAAAGGGGACCTTGAATAATTTAAATTGCACTCTCTAACAAGCCGTTCTGAGAACAGAGAAATGGTGGGGAAGTTGGTTTTTGCTGAAGTACAAACCCTAGGGCTATGCTCAGAAAGACAACATTCCAAGAATAAGAAATACTTTTTGATTTCTTTTCCCCTTCTCCACAAAGATTTATAATTCTCTAGCAAGGCTAGTGAGTAAACATTAAGGAAACAAACAAGTCAATAAATACACTATTCTTAAACTTTATTCCAAGATTAATTTGTTAAAAATACATAATCTTTTGGTCAACTTAAAAACATTAATTTTTTTAAATCACACAAATCTAAAAATTACTATCCACTCTTTGCAGGAAAAGATGGTTTCTCTATTTGCATATGTAATGCTGACACAAAATAGGTTTAATAAACCGTTCATAGTGATAATTCTATACCTTCATTCTTTGCATCTGCTCTCTATTAAATACATTTTGCTTCTTTAGTGACTGGTATTTGACTTTCATACTGATAAGCTGACGCTCCATTGCAGCCCTTCGATCTTCTACCTGGAAAATAACAAGTTTAATGGTTCCTACAGTAAATGAAATGCTAATTTAATCATCAGAATACTTATAAGTACCTCTGCAAACAAAGAATTGCCTTTACTATTGGGATCCAAGGCTTGCTGCAGGGCCTGGTCCAACTGCACCTGAAGATCTTGATTTGCTACGCGAGCTTTCTAAATTCAAAAGAAAACAATTTAGCTAGCAGAGATTAGCAAGAAAACAACTTATTATAAATTGAAAAAGATGATGTTATTGTAATCACAATACCTCTAGGGCATTATAGTAAGAAACTGCTTCTTTTTCCCGCTCTTCTTTTTCTTCTTTGAGCCGGTCTACCTGGCGCATTAAGTTAGTAACCAGAAGTTCTAACTGTTCTTGTCTATACTGTAGTTCATTCACTTCTTCTTTGAGGCTGTTCTATTCAACAGAAATTAAAAAAGAGGAAATTCTCTTAAATAATCTTTCATTCAGCAGCTGCTCAGTTTGTCTGTCAGTAGTGGCTTATATCCAAAATTAAAATTGAAGAACTTATCTTAGGTTGCCAGGTGCATATTAAAATAATAAAAAATCTCTGAATCTTTTTTAGCAGGGAACAAAATTAAAGTCTTTAGGGACCTCTCTTTCCCTCCTATAAATTTAAGGCTTTAATTTTTAATTTACCTTACCCTGCAATGAAAAAACACTGTCCACATGCATTTAGACTTCCACTATACGAACATTTTATGACACAAGAACTGGAATCAGAGTATATGCCTCTACATTTTTCCAGGGTTTCACATATAATCAGGTAATCTAAAGCTATGCTATGAATCCACCTAAAAACTCTACAGAACATTTTTTAACTAGATGAAATGTTAAGTCAAGAAAGAACTCAGCCTTTAAACTAGCTCTTAGGAATTTGTACAACATATAAAAATATACAAGAAAAGAAGGAAAGAAACCCTGAGAAACACGTGTCATAAAAATTACCTTCACACTTTCGGTTTCCGTGAGTTCAATTTGAAGAGCCAGCATCTCTGAAGACATGCTTTCGTGTACACGCTCAGACATTACCCGCAGTTCCTCTGACTTACAAGAGAGAAGCTCCTTTTGATGATCTACTTGGTGCTTCAGCTGCTTTTCACTAAGCCTAGCTTCATCTAATTCCACTTTTAATTTTTCTATCTAAAACCAAAAAAAAAAAAAAAAATCTTATAAAAATACCTTTTGAAAGTATTTTCTTTCTGAAAAACATCGCTGAGTGACCCAAACTTTCTAAATGATGAGACTATTGGTGTTTCCTACTTGCCCAAGGCGAGGCATCTTTTAACAGATAGTGACACACCTTGTTTTATAAACATAGATATAATACATACAAGTAATCAGAGTAGTCTGGATTTCATGAATGCAACCTGAAGGCACTATGCTGCTGACCACCCTGCCTCTGTGTGAAGAGTAAGTGGCATGAACAGAAACTATGAAAGCAGGCACAATGATTAGGAAGCTACTGAGGGGTCTAAGTGGGGGGAGGGGATGACTAATGGCAGTAGGGTAGACAGATGTTTTGTAGGTCAAATTCTTAGAACTCATTGATGGATTAAATGTAAGAAAAAAAGAGGGAAAAAGAGGTAAGATAAAATTCAAATTTTGGCACAAGTGATTTGAGGACATCAGTAAAACTAAAAATATTTGACTAATTTACTCTTTGCTATGCCAAAAAAAGACATCTCTATAACTGGCCTTGCCTTAGTCCCTGAACATTCCTTACATTACTCTTTTTCTCCCCTAAATAATGAAAGCTGTTAAAATGAAAATAATATCCAGAGGGGAAAAAAAAGAATATATCATTATCACTAGTCACTAGTGTCTCAAATCAGATTAGTTTCAGACAAGCTGGATTATTATTTGCCAGAGCGGTATACAAGATAATTCTATGTATTACCAAAAGCATATTTAGTTATAATTGTTTTACTACATATTAGAAAAAAATACATCAGCTGAAATATATCATTTGATGTCATTACTTAAAATGAGAAAATAAATAAGAGTTAATTTAATGAGAAATTAAGCAATATGTGGTACGTAGAAATAGAAAAATCTTAAGATGCTACAGAAAAAGCCTGAAAATTGGAAAACAAGACCAAAGTCAAGCAAGTTTTGTCACCTAAAAAGGCATCTGGATAACCAGAGGACAGACTATACCCAAAGAGGAGCCATGATAAAAGTTCTGGAGCCTTCATAAGCAAAAGGCAAAGGACAACCACTAGCCAAACATTGCATTTATGTTTGAAACGGAGTCAGTGTAACATGTTGTTAGACTAAGCACACTCTACTCAGTAGCATGACCTGTGGAGTCAGACTACCTCAGTTAAAATCTTGACTGACAATTTCTAGCTCTTTAATTACGTCTATTTTATTCAACCTATGTAGACATTGGCTCTCTCATGTCATGTGGCATCTTCCTTACAGAGTTTTTGTTGATAAATGGATCAGATATATTACTTTATTTTCAGGGAACAAATTATGAAGTATCTTTTCTAATGTATACAATTTATAAGAAACTATTGGTTTACTTTACAGAATTACAAACCAGATCACTAGATGCAGTAAAGGCCAAAAGACTAGTCTTTCCTCAAGGGGACTGGTGTGGTATGCAAGGCGGCCATGCTGGTCACTAAACTAAAAATTAATTACAAATATCCAGTTCCTAAAATTAAGTAATTATATTTAATTAGTAGAATATTACTTACACAAGTCTTTTAGGTAAAGTCCTGTTTCTCAGTGTTCCTACCCCCAATATTAAGAAAATATAAATTTTGATCTTGGCTATTTTATACAGCTGACACTTACGAAAATCTTTAAGCTTATAGATAGCTGCATAAACATGGAAATTTTTGCTCTGAAATACACAGATATTCGAACCTTATTTTTTAGTTCATTCACTTCTTGTCCATGGCTTCTGCTTAACTGTTGTTCCAATTTCTCCAAGTTTATTTTTTGTTGTTGTTTAATAGCTTCACATTCACAGGTCAAACTTTCCAACATTCTACTCTTGAGTTCAACTTCTCTCTGAAGAGTGTATTTTTCTTGTTCATAATTCTGAGAAGATTCAATTACAATGCAATTAGATAAAATAGTTTAAAGCCATCACATCTAATCGATTTTCACATTCAACTATTTAATTTCTGTTTCATACATTTGCTGCTTTCCAAATCACAATCAAATGTTAAACCAGGAATAACTCTGTGAATAATCAGTCTTCGACACATGAGATGTATTTTGAGACTATGTGAAAGTCCATGCTAGACGTACCTAATGCGTCTAAGCCCTGCAAAAGGAGAAAAGTGCTCTATGGTATGTCAACATGTCAAGTAATCTCTGCTAGGAAAAAGAAAAGGATTTAATAGCACTAAAGTTTTCCTAGAGAGAATTATTAGTTTGATAATGAGATGCTACTTGTAGCTCTGAACAAAATGTAGTAGTTTAAAAAAAAACTAAAAAGAAGAAACACTGAACACTGTAGTAGCCCTTACTTTTAGAATGTACTCAGTTACCTGAGAAATGTTCACAAAGTCTTCACCAGAATGAATATGGTACTGAGATAAAGGAGCAATGAAAAGGGCTTTTGTTTACTCACAGGTAAGTTTAGAGATAAAAAACTTAAGCTATCAGTCTGAACTCCTTCAAAAAAACACTGAAATTTGACACATTGTTACTTAGAATGATTAAACATAACACTGCTTTATTTTCTACTATTAGAAAGATCTGTAACCTTTCACTTGCCTTTATGACTTGGTATTGAGTTCTTGGTCCAGAACAGTACTATGGGAAAACAAAGGCTTTTTATGTGTCCACACAAGCCTACTGGCTCTCTATTTTTTTGCCTGCTATATTTACAATGTTGAGATCCAAACTTAAACATCTTACTTACGATTTACTAAATTAAACTGATTCATCCATTCATTCTTTCCATAAATATTATGTGCCAGGCATCTAGGGATACAGATGTGAACAAGACAGACAAAATTCCCACTCTTCACAAAGCTTATAATTTGGAGATAATTAGCAAGGCAGAGAATTAAAAGAGTAGCAATCATGGGAAATTTTAAATTATGTAGTCAGGACTGGCCTCTCTGCTGAGGTGACATTTACCTGAAACCTGAAGTTTGAGGACTCAATCTATGAGTGGTGGAGGATGACTTCAGGAAAAGGCAACAGTTATGTAATATCCATAAAGTAGAACTAATTTAGTCAAGAATGAGGGAAAACAGATTAAGATGAGATAAAAAGTTTGGCAAGGATCAGATCACATAGAGATCTACAAACCCAAGTAAGGAGCTCAGATTTTGTGGTAAATGTAATCAGAATTCAATGTATGGTTTTTAGCAGGGCTGTGACATAATCGTTTGTGTATTTTTCCATGACCACTTGGTTGCAAAGAATAGTTGGCATGAATAGCAACAATGGAAGCAGGGAACCTGGTCAGAAGGCTCAGTAGTCATCGGGAGAGCCAATAAACATCTAGACTAGAGCGGCAGAGGTACAGATAGATGCTTCATAAGTCAAGTTCTTAAAACTTGTTGATGAATTACATGTGAGAAATAAGGGCCCAGGAGGATAGAGTATGGGGAGATGAAGAATGGTTGATTAAGGATTAAAGGATTGATTAATGGGTACAAATATACACTTAGATAGAAGAAATAAGATCTAGTGTCTGCTAGATTAGTAGGGTGACTATTAATTGACTGCATATTTCAAAACAGCTAGAGAATAATTCAAATGTTTCTAGTATAAATATTTAAGCTGACGGATATCCCAATTACCCTAATTTGATTATATGAATGTACAAATTACCACAGGTATTCCCAATAAGGAATTCCCAACAAGGACACCTAATATGTATTATTAAAAAAAATAAGGGAAAGATACTGAGAAAAACTCAGATTTTTTGGCTTAGGCAACTGAACGAACATATTACATTTACTAAATAAGTTAAAGAAAATGGTAATGTTTGGTAAATGAACAGAAAAATCAACCATTCTATCTGTACATTAATCTGAGATGTCTATTAGTGAGAAGTTGAACATACAAACGTAGACTTCACAGGAGAACTAAAGGTTTGGCAAAGTATCAGGAAACATATGGATGTTAGAGGCCTGAAACAAGTACAGTCACCTAGGAAGGGCGCAGACAAAACAAAATCTGGCGGTACATGTGGTAAAGAGCAATTACAACTTGATTTTCTTTCTTTCTTTTTTTTTTTTTTTTTGAGACAGAGCCTCAAGCTGTCCCCCTGGGCAGAGTGCAGTGGCATTACAGCTCACAGCAACCTCCAATTCCTGGGCTCAAGCGAGTCTCCTGCCTCTGCCTCCCAAGTAGCTGGGACCACAGGCGCCTGCCACAACGCCCGGCTATTTTTTGGTTGCAGCCATCATTGTTGTTTGGCGGGTCCGGGCTGGGGATTCGAACCTGCCACCTTAGGTGTATGTGGCTGGCGCCTTAGCCAGTTGAGCTATAGGCACCGAGCCACAACTTGATTTTCAAACTCAGAACACACAGAGTTGGAAAAATAACAGGGATTCATTTATTTCATTCTCCTTTAATGAGGATGGAGGGAATGGGCCCTATATCTAAAATCATCAGAGAATAAATTAGTAATCATTGGTAAGCAAGACAAATCTTTAATCTTTAATAAAGTCAAACCTCAGTCATAGTCATCATTTCATTACGGCATGTATCCAGTTGATTCTGCAACTCATTCTGGCTTTCCACTAGCTGTAAACCATACTGTGCAGCTTTCACTCTCTCTTCTTCAACCTCTTTGAGCTTGCACCGAAGATTCGCAATTATATCTGCCTCCATGTTTTCTACTGTTTTCAGCCTACTGTAAATAGAGAAAATAAAACAATTTAAGCTGAAACAAAACGCTCCATGCAATGGTATCAATAGAGGAAATACTTTAATATCTAGCCAATAATATCTACTCAATAAATGTAGCATTTTTCTTCCTGACTTACGGTCAGATTTCTTTTCTTGTTCCAAAAGCAAAGAAATGTTGCAACAATTTTATCACTTTATTTGAGACCAAATCAAAAAGAGCAGAGAATACATTTAATTTTGCTTCTATGAAATTCACCATCAGGAAACTATTCAGTTGCTGTGTGCTAAGCCTCTTTAAATGTTAAGGTAGGGCTGGTTTCATTATTGTACCACTATCCATTATAACAGAAGGAAAGTTAACAGAATGATAAAAAAAAGTATCAAGTAACTTACAGCAGCAGGACTGCAACTTAAAATATACAAAGGCAGCTTTGAATAAGTTTTATAAGGTCTCATAAGGTGAAGCAAGGAATATCGGGCCTGTGATTTTTCACAACAGTGTTAACTTCTTAAATATATTAACTCTGCTTTCTTGAAAAGAGACTCTCTACTAGTTTACTAGGTATTCACAAGAGCACGCGAAACAGAAACCATAGTCAGAGCAATTAAAGGACATTGCTTTCATTCTAGATTTTTCGAAGACTTACACATTACACTACGCATACAGAAACATTCTATTTTAACTCAACTTTACTCATTATCTTTTCCTACTTGGCCCCAGCCTCTTAAGCCAAACACATCTTTAACTTCAAAGGCACCAAGTCATTATTAAGATATTCCACCATGGGGTGGCGCCTGTGGCTCAGTGGGCGGGGCACCCAGTGGGCGGAGCACCCATGCCCCATATACCCAGGGTAGTGGGTTCAAACCTGGCCCCGGCCAAGCTACAACAAAAAATACCCACATCGTGGTGGGCACCTGTAGTCCCAGCTACGCGGGAGGCTGAGGCAACATAATTGCCTAAGCCCAGGAGTTGGAGGTTGCTGTGACTGTAAAGCCAGGGTACTCTACAGAGGGCTATAAAGTGAGACTCTGTCTCTTAAAAAAAAAATGTTCCCCCATGTCTTAAGTCAATGTAATCTTGAATACCTTATGTGCTAAGCTCCGTTCTTGGCATTCCAGATTCATTAGGGAAGAAAATGGACAAAAAATCTCTTCTATCATGAAACTTATAGTCCACAAAGGGAAAACAGCAAGTAATAGCATAGTAATTATGTATATTAGAAAAGGAAAATGGAAAAAAAAACACAACAGGATAGGGAGCTGGGAAGATGGGTGGTATAACAAGGAGACAGAAGTTAAGAGAATTAGCTCTGCAGCTATTTAGGGGAAGAATGTTCCAGGCAAACAGAAAGCCCTAAGGCAGAAAGAAGCCCAAAGAGTGAACTAGATAGAGTTTAGGTCATAGATAACTAGGAGAATAGGCAAATCAGGCCAGTATAAAGACTTTGGCTTCTTCTCTAGGTGAGACAGAAAAGTCATTCCAAAGTCTGGTATAGAGGATCTGACAATTTAAAAGGGTCATTTTGGCCGCTATGTGCATTAGTTAGGAGGGGAACAAGACTGGAGGGAGACAGATCATGTAAGACAATGGCTCAGACTAGAGAGGCTGCACAGGAGATAGTAAGAAATGGCCAGATTCTACATATGTATTATTTAAGGTATAAAGTCAGTGTGATTTTCTGACAGGTGGAATGTAGGTTATATGAAAAAGAAAATTCAACCCCCATCACTCATAGATTGAGTCCTCAAACTTCAGGTTTCAGTTAAATGTCACCTCAGCAGAGAGGCCAACCCTGAGTACGTAATTTTAAATTTGCCTGATTGCTACTCTTTTAAATACCCCCAAAGTGTCTGGCCTGAGCAACTAGTGAAATGGAGCTGCCATTAGTTCACGTGTTGCAAAGAAAACTAGGAATTCAAGTTTTGAGTATGATGTCAAGCAAGAAGTTGGACATGTGAGTAGGAGAGCGGTCTGGGCTGGATATGTAAATCTGGGAGTTATCAGCTTAAACTCTTGAGATTTGGTATCAGTAAAGAATGAGCATTAACTAAAGAGAAAAGGACAAGGAATTGAACTCTGTTAAGAGGTGGGGAAGAAGACAGAAAAGTATACTCCACAGTGACTAGTGAAATAAGAAGAAAACCTGGATTATGTGTTGTCTTAGAAGCCAATAAGCAAAGTATATTAAGGAGATAAGAGTGATCAATCATGCCAAACACTGCAAGTCAAATAACGTCAGAACATAAAATTGACCAGTGGATTTGAATTCATGGAAGTCACTGATGGACCACAATACCAGTTTTGATATACACGTGGAGGTGAAAGCCTAACCGGAATGGATTTGAGAGAGAATGGTAGGACACAATGATAGCAAGTACAGTTTTGCTACAAAGGAGAGCAGTTAACTGAAGCAGTAGGTGGAGAGGAAGTAGGAGTAAGTGTTTTAATTTTTATGTAGGCCCTGAAATAAATCCAGAAGAGAAGAAAAACTGATGATAGACACTAGAGAACTGCCAAAGTGATGTCTCTAAATAAAGAGAATGAGGTCTAATGTAGAGGCATGGGTTTGAGATAACAGCATGGGTATTCATCTAAAGTAAGGGAAAGCAAAGTTTATGAGTACAGATCATGATACATAGGTATGTATGATGGTGGGAAGCTGTGTAAGTGCTTCTAATTGCTTCAATTATCAGTGAGCTAGGAAGCAAGGTCTTTAATTGAGAATGAAGCTGAGGATGGAGACAGAGTTTTAAGAGAAAACAAAAAGTACCTTAGGTTATCTGAGGCGGTCAGTTACTGCTTAAAGTATAAGACTTTTTCAAAGCCTGTACATGGTAGGATCAGCCAGCTAGCTGTTGCACTGTTAATACCTTTTATTTGTAGGGAATTACCATTTACCAAGCTAAGTGCTTCAAATACATTATCTCATCTAAATTTTTTGATGAGCCTCAGTTAAGTATTTATTGTTTTCTCCATCTACCAAAGGAAAAATGGTGGTAACCTCAAGACATTCTAGCCAAGCATATCCAGGAAGCCAAAAAATTAGCTTTCGTTCATTCAAAAAATTTGCTAGAATTCTTATTATGTGTCAAACACTGTGCTAGTGCTGAGTACACAAGGGTAACCCAAAACAATATTCCTGTCTTCTTGAATCTCACAGTCTATTGTAGAAAGGCACATCAAATAATTGAACTGTACAATTACAAGTGTGATAAAATCAAGAGAGGGAGCTGCCCTAATGGGGGGGGGGAGGGAGTAGGAGGGACTATGGACAAGACTTCCCTGAGGGGACTTTTCAGCAAAGATCTAACAGATGACCAAAAGTTATCCTCTTCAATCTAGAGGAGCTTCCCTTCAATAACAACTACAGGCAATCTGTGCCAGACATTGTGCTTGATCCTTTGTATAATCTTATCCAATCCTCTGAACAACTCCATGAAGTAAAGGCATTTCCTCCATTTCATACATATGCAAACTGAGGCACAGAAAGGTTAAGTAGCTTGCCTAGGATTATCAGCTAGTTAAGTGATTACGTGAGATGGAAAACAGAATCTAGCTGCAAAGCCTAGAAATGCTCCCATCACATTTCTGTTCTGCCACTCAAAAACATAACATACACTGGCATTTAGGAGATAGGGAGGCTCTAGAAATCAAGCTGCCTGAATTCTTACCCATCTCCATTACTCACTGGTTGCATGAACTCAGAGAAGTTACTTAATGGCTTGTTTCACTATCTGTAAAATGGACAATAACACCTACCTAAAAGAGTTGTTGAGAAGACTAAATGGAGTAATGAAAGAAAAACAATTAGGGCAGAATCTTGACACAGGCCTGAGAGAGCGCTGCCCAGGATAAATACAGTGCGAGTCATGTATGTGATTGTTACATTTTCTAGGAGTCACGTTTTACAAAAGTAAACACAGGCAAAAAATTAATTTTAATATTTTATTTAACTAACCACATCCAAAATATTACCGTTTCAATAGGCAGTCATTATAAAAATTAACGACACGACTTTTTGTGTGCTACCTTAGAAATCCAGTGTGTATTTTACAGTTGCAGGATTTCTAAATCCAAGCTGCCACTAGTGGCCAGTGGCTATCGTACCAGGCAGCGCAGATACAGTGGCTATTGTCATTTTGAGGCACAGGGAGCTGACCCAGCCATTCGTATTTATCCAGAATCTCCGAGGGCGGAGAGGCGGTCCAACGGAAGACTACGACCGGCTCGAAACCCAGCTTATAAGAACTCAGGGTTCCCGGGCAGGAGGTGTTCCAGCTAAAGGCCTCGGCTGAGACCCAGGCCCCAGGTTTCCTTAGGGCCCGCTTACCTCTCCACTCCGCACCGCTCTTTCCACACCCACCTCCCACCAAGCCCCTTGCCCCTACCTCTCTCCACACCCGGTTCCCCGCTGCTGCAGCTGGCGGCTAGTAACTTCGGAGAGTCCAGATTACCGGACACTAACTCCACCTTACCGAAGACATACCGGCTCATTCAGTCGGCTAACTCCCGGGGAAGCGCCAGGGCTTTTTGAATGCAGTTCCCGCGAGAGCTCCCACCTCTCACGAGACGTTCCGCCCAAACGGGGTGTAAAGGAGAAACTAGGAGATGTGTCGCACAGAGCGCCCCGCCCCCTACAGAGACTGCGCAGGTGCAAGCGGCGAGACTTGGGCTTGGCCCCTTGGCTCATTAATTTTACTTGGGATTAGTTTCCGGGGCGACTTATGAGTGTTTGCATTTAGTAACCGTGTGTTGGGGTTCTGCTTGTTTGCTATTTGTTGTTGTTGTTTAAGCGACATTGTTTTCTGAAGGAACAGAGTCGCTAAGCGAGGCGGTGGAGGGTCACCGTGGGCACCACTGTGCGGACCTCATACACCCAACCTACCGGGGTTTTGACCAGGGTGCACTCTGAAGTCCTTCCCTCTGGTATCTGTCTTATGAGTCCAGTAACCCGAATCAGTGTGATGGTGCCTAAAAGCATCATATGATAAAATCACAGT